ACATGTAGACACTTTATTAGCTATGAATCATAACTTCTGATATTAAACTGTCCATTAGCCGCTGATTCTATGCTCTCTTCATAATCTTCCATAGCATACAAAATGTGATATACATTTCATTTCCATTAATTCAACAACTTTACTCCAAAAATGTCACTTATATCATTTTTAGAAATTTGTATGTCATGTTTATTAAATGTGAAAGGTTTTAAAAAGCATGAGAGTCATTAGTTAAGAAGTAACTGTAGAACATAGGCCTATATATTGAATGAATAATTGAATATTTTGTAAAATTTTTTGTAGATATAACTATAGCTTTTTACTAAATGTAGTGTTTACTATTGTTCAAATCTTTATATGGTGCTGTTTAACAACACTAATAAAAATGTCATGTGTAGACCTGCAAAACATTGGCTGTAGGATTTATACAAGCACTCGATTGTGAAGTCTTTTGATAATGTGCACGTAGCCTGAAGTTAACGTGGATCATCATCCGCAGTACTGTTTCATCGTACCGTCATCTGAAAAATGTCAACCGTTAGACCTGTTAATTCACCTTTATTCTAAATTGTGCTCCAGAGTTTATGAGCTGGATCACGGCTACTAATGGGTCGTTCCAACAAAGCTTATGTGTCCGCATATGAGATGAAAATACACATGAGGTCGTTATGCTAAAAACATGTTTTCTAACATATTTATTTTGGTTATAAAGCTTTTGGTAGTTATTTCATGAAAAAAAACAAAGGTTTTCTGTATTTGAACAAACCTAAAATTTTTTTTCACTGTGTATTTGGTTCATTGCACATAAAAGGTATGTTCAGATTAACTCCCTGGATTTAAGCTATAATTATTTAGAAAGTAAAGTCAAAGCTGGTAATTTGTCGTCCCAAGTGCAGAGGACAAGATCAGTTAATCTCCTGTCACAGAATTCCGGGATTATTGTGAGCCAAGACCGAATGCATTATGAATTCCAAAGCCCCTCCTTTTCAAATACTTGTATGCTGTAATGAGTGCTCTTGAAACAGCTTGGAAAATATGCATAACAGATCTTTTTCCAATTGAAAAGGATGGTACAGAGTTGTTTACTCGCTTTTAGAAACCTGGTATTTGTTGATAGATTGAAGCTTTGTTGATGAGTTGGGTAGTACATAATTTGAAAAGAGTATTGACCGTTCGGTATAGATAAAAGCTAAAAATCTCACAATCCTTAGGACAACTATTTGACATTATTACCATCAAACTGACAACGAGTTACATGCAGAGAATAAGATTTACTTCATTAGTTAAACTTTCAAGTTGCACGTAGTTCATATGTTAGCTTGTCTTTAAAATAGATAGATTTTCGGAATTGTTTTTTTGCATTCTGTACATGGCATTTGAAAAATTGTCTCTTGAATTAATATCCTTTTTAAACATCACGTCCATACATATACTTCGAACATTAAAAGTTGCAACACTAATCAACAATCTGAACAACAGCCTACTTTCTTGGCCATTAGCAAGATTTGAGATATGTAAAGTTATACCCTCACTTTAAAATTTGAGATAACTTACGGGGAAAAAAATAACTAGGATGCAGGAATGGATAGTACAGATTTTATTGTGAATTAATGTTTAAGATGTCGTCTGCCTAAATGATAAATTGATTTCCAAATTGGCAGAAAATTAGTTCGCTACTTCAGTAACCACTATCCAATGCCACCTCTCCGAGAGTTTGTGTAACATACTAGTTTAAGTGGGGTCTCACATTTGCTAATGATTACTCTTCCGACGAGATGTCCTCGTTTTTATAGCGGACACTAGAAAAATGTTTTTCATTTCTACGATTGTGTTCAGAAGTTACTGATTAACTTCAAATGGGAAATGCTACATTTAATTGAAACCACAAAGAAAGAAATGAACTTATCTTAGACTTTGACTGGACTCTACATCATGATTGATATGAAGCCGTGCTAAGAAAAGGAATCGGAATGTTTGTCTGAAATATTTTATTTGACTGTTGAACTTACATTGAAGGTTAAACTTTTAACGTCTTGGAGATACTCCTTTTAGCAAATTGTTTTAAAAGATTGGAAAATATTTTAATCCCCAATCCCCATAGAAGTTGTAGATATTATATATATTACAATGGTTGCCAACCATAAAAGTCTAGTCTGCAAATTTATAGAAAACAAAATGATTTGTGTATTTTGAAAATCACTTTGAAACTAAAAAAAAAAACAATATTAAACAATGTAATTTAGAAAGCCGAAAAACTTTCTGATCAATTAAAATCTAACTACTTAACACAAGTTCTAACTTGAATATTATTGGTATGTGGTGAAGTGTAAAGAGCATCACAAAATTACAAGAACCATGGAAACTTAAAAGTATCAATGTTAATTTATGTAGTAATTTAAAAAATCACCTGTTTGGTTTTATTGCTTAATAAAGATGTCAACACCAATTGTAAGATCATAAAAGAAAGTTAAAAATAAGTGTAGTGGAGTAAAAAATAGGCGTATTTAATATATATATTATATATATATATATATATATATATATATATATATAGAGTAGATTTTAAAGTTGGTTTGTACAATAATTCTCAATCATTTATTACACACCAATTTTAAAAATTTATATAGGCACTATTTCATATAAAAGATTTCTTTTCTTAGAATGTTGTGAGAAATTTAGTAAAGTAATAAAGTTAATATCCAATTATAAAGCTAAATTAAAGTTAATATATACAATTTATTTAAGAAGTTAATTGCAATTATAAAATTAATAGATTTTATTTCCTGAAGAAATGTTGGGAGTCAGAATGTCTGTTTTTTCTTGATCTTGCTGTAGGCTATGATCATTATTTTTTGACTAACGGGTAAAAAGACGTAAAGACATAACAGCCTAGTTGAGTGAAGTGCATAATTAGCCAACAAATCAACATATTTCGTCTTTGGTGTCTTGTACTTTAGCTGCTATTGTTCTGTTGTTTGTCCAAATGAAGGTTTACAAAGGGCATTGAAACCAGACAAGATAATCTGGTGTTATCAACTCAATAGATTCTTGTCAATCTTTTGTTTGATGCATTCTACTTAGTAGATCTGAAACCTGCTTTTGCAAGAGGCTCCTGATATGGTCATCATGATCTAATCAACCCCGCGTCTACAGTCTGGATCATTGGAATTGGCTTATCCCATCTACAGAAAGAGGTTGCTAACCCCCTGAGATGCTATGGTTAAAAACACCTTTGTTGTAGGGAGAATGTTCATTTGATTTTATTCTCTTTGATATCCAATCAAACTGACAGTGAAGTGTCTTAACTAATGGTTTTGTTGTTCTTTTATTGAGTAATCAACATCTTACTTCATCTACTCTTTTCTGCTTTGCTTTCAATTAGCCTACAATTCAACAATAGTACAAATTGCAGCTGTAGAAAATGAGACAATAATTTACCTAGGTGAAAAAATAACTTGTCACACAATCAAACAACAGATATTTATATTAATATACATGGATAGGGAGATAACAACTGCAAGTTACTTAATAACAATCAAATGGTCGGTAACATCTGTACATATTTTTTCAAATTTTCCAATGATTATACGCTTAACAAACAGCCTGTTCCATTAAATCAAGTTAAGAAATGGGTAATTAAAAAAAACATTTACCAGTATTAATAATTTTATAAAAACTCCCATTTTTATATAAAATTGATAAAATGTATAAAATAATTTTTCATGCTGTAGTCCTGCATAATGATCACAAAAAAATAGATTACTTCCCATCAGTTCTCTATACACTTTATTTTTTCGATTAATGATATAGCAAAATGGCATTGGCAGTGTTTTAATTTAGTTGATGTAAACTACGGACAACGATTCCAAAGCTCCTAATACTGAAGGTTTAAATTTAGTAAAACTTATTGTGATTTTGTAACGGGTAAATGCGCAGCTTAATATAACCTATGTTTTTATCAAGTTTAGACAAAGATACCAAAAATCCTATAGATTTTGGTTTCTTCATTAGATAATCATGTTTTTATTCTGGTTACGGGTAAATGCGAATCTTTTCAAGCTAGTGCGATTTTTTTTATCAATCAGAACTATCATCACAAGGCTTCTACATTTGTTCCAAATGAACAAGTCCATTTAGTACAATAGTGAAGGAACTGTTCCTAAAAAAGCCTGTTGTGACTCAACCTTAGTACTTCTTTGTCATTGTATTTTTGAAAATGTTGAATAAGTGATGAGATTTGGCCTAAATCTCCCCTCTGGGCTATCCAACAAAATGAAGGTAGAACTGTGTAGTTAGCAGCCTGCATTTCAGAGATGGTATCTTTTGGAAATTTTACACTCATCAAACATTGACTTTTTCACTTGCAAAATGAATCAAGTCCATAAGGCTTGGGCAGTGGAGAGGTTTGTCTATGTTTAGAGAATATGAAAACTTGAGTAACATTTTTTTTGGATATGGGAACTTACAAAATTTAGTTAAAAACAGTATGCTCATTGTTGTAAGAAAGTATAATACATACTCTAAGTATTGAAATACACTGATGATGACATAATTAATGTCGAAATATTGAATCCCAACACGATGGCGTGTATTTCAAAACTTGGAGTATGTATTATACTTTCTTATCTGAGATTAATCAGTGGACCTTTCGCTCATTGTTGTCTTGTTCAAGTATCAGGTCTCAATTACTGTTTTCTACCTTTGTGATCAGAGATATCCTCAACTCGGTCAATCAATAATAATGCCTTGTAGGCCCTTTTATAATGAATGTGCAAGCAATATGCAAATTAGTAGATTATCTTAGCTGATCTATTAACATTGTTTTGTTAGCAGAGAAAACCTATTCATTTTTTAATGGTTAATAAGACAATCATTAAAATAATTTGAACACTATATATTAGTATTATTCAATAAATTGTTAAAATAAAAATTTATATAAAAATGAGTTTTTTAAACTAGTAGAATGTAAAATTATAAAGCATTTTTATTTTATCTTTCAGTGGTTAGAAACTGGTGCAAGTTATGAGCGAAAATTCCAGGTATGTCAAGTACAGTCGAGCAACCAAAACAATTGGTTAAGAACACGCCACATTGAACGAAAGGGTGGAAATCGTATCCAAGTGGAACTCGAGTTTTCCATGTATTCATGCGAGGGAATTGATAATGTGTTATCCTGTAGGGAAACATTTGACTTCTATTATATTGAAGCCAATCAGGATTATGCAGATTCTACCAATCCTGTATGGGCAGCGCCACCATACATTAAAATAAAACGTATAGCTGCAGAAGGACGTTTTTCAGACCCGCAAAATGAAATTATTAACACTGTGGTGGAAGACTTTGGACCGGTTACTCAGAACGGTTTTTACTTAGCCTTACAGGACCAAGGCGCCTGTATGGCATTGCTTAAAATGCGTGTTTTCTACACAGTGTGCCCGCAAGTTATAGAAAATTTTGCAAATTTTCCTGAAACGGTTACAGGACTTGAAGTAACATCGCTTGTATCCGTTGATGGTACATGCGTAGAAAATGCGAGTATTGTTGGTGCGACACAACCAGTTTATCAGTGTAAGAGTGACGGGAGCTGGATTCTTATCCAAGGAACCTGTGCCTGTAACCCCGGTTACGAGCCTGTCGGCTCTAGATGCCAAGGTAAGCATGTTATCAAAGTATCTCATGAGTTGTATTCTTCCATTTGGAGATATTCTCTTATAATCCTTGCACAATTATTAAAGCACTTAAGTGCTTTGTTTAATTAAATGTATTATCAATTATTCACTGACCAGTACCAGTAAGGTGTGGCATATACCATTGTCAGTATTGTGTTGTATAATTATATTATTGTGTCAATTTATTTTATTTTATTTATTAAGACTAAAAAAACATTTCCACTAACCCTCGGAGACTCAACTCATATATAGAAATTCATCAACTCATTAATAATTCATTTCCTTTTTATTCATTTCATCTGTTTGATGTAAAAAAAAAAACCAACAAAACAAAAAAAAGTTTTTGTGAAATAATTGTAGTAACACTAATATAAAGTGAAAATAATATCTTATGTCTGTGGTGTTTAGCGTGTAATGTTATGTGGAAGTTCAGACTTTTGGATAGCTTTTCTGGCTTATGGAAGTTAATATTATATTTCATATAAACAGAGATTTAATAGTAAATAAAACAACACAGCTGGCTACAACCTTTTAAAGTCAACTCTAGATTAAAGGTAGTAGACCGGTATCATGAACGTTAAATGCAAGACATTTTCCATCTGATTAATTTAATTGGAAGCTTACTAACTCTAAGAAGTGTGCTTATAGGTATGTTATCCACATCACCGAACCTATAGAAACACCCGGAAAATTTTCATAGAGAACGTTGCTATACGCAACACTATGCAAGGCCGAGTTGGAGCCACCCATGCGCAAAAAATGTGTTCAAAAGCTCTAGGTTTTATTCGCACAATATCACTAATATCCAATGCTATCAGTTTCAAATATCTATTTCACAGGGGTTTTTATTTGGCACCGAACTTGGCGAACATCTATTGTTCTTGCCTGAGAAGTCTGTCGTACAGCCTTTATAGGTTTCTCTGTATGCAGACTAAAATCATGTCGGAAATCTCAAAGATTTTTTAATGTTTTCTCTTTCACACTCTGTTTGTAAGCTATTGTTGAAAGTTGTTGATTTGTTTCTAGTGTTTAGTGAAAAGTTTGTTGTTATTAGGAACTGAAGCTGAAGCTAGCGTATGCTGTAGAGGGGATAAAAGTTGTTTAACAAGTTCATTTACTGTGTTTATATAAAAACTTCAAAGGATTTACCATTGGTGTTCTAAGCTTAACGATGTGATATTATTGTCATAATAATTATGTAAATAAATTGTTATTTTTCAATTACCATTTTCTGAATAATTCTTAAAAAGCTGGATAATTTACTATATTAGGAAAATCTTGCTACAATTTAATGTTAATGAACACATTCTTCAAAAGCGAATTATTGAGTGCTGAAACAGAATGCTGAACTAATAATTATGTTAGGTTTGATATGAAAAGGAGGACAGACAATAATGCTGGTATATTTACACAGAGCTTTAATTAAGGCTGAAGATTTCGAATTTCTTCTCGAAATATTTTGCCAGATCATATGCAATTAACGTAGAACATATTACAAAGAAAAATTTACTCAAATTCTCCTGACATAGTTTCATTCTTTTTTCGTTAAAGCAGTAATCCAACGTTATTATGATTACTCCAGGCGCATCTTATATCATTACATGATCAGATTGAACAATTTCTTAATCCGTGAATTTAATGTTGTTATTATTTTTAGATATGTTTCTTTAACATACCTAACAAACATTTTTTGAGACAATAATAAACCAGAGTTATACATGTAGTCTTTAAATCAGCATGGAAAAGCAGAAAAAATAAAGTACAGGAAAAAGAATAAAGAAAATCATAATTCAGTCTCATCATAGCTTATATGAGTATTGTATTTACAGAGGGAAATAATCCACTTATACTGTACATAGTGCAATACTCAGTATTCTTTTAAAACAAAGAAATGGCATTTATAACATCATTACCATACCAAGTACATTCTAGTGGCCCTTCATAAAAAAATATTACCGGTACTGTAGTTCTATTACTGGTCTGCTTACTGGTAATGCAATGATGTTGCAATATTGAATCAAGAAAGTATAAAATTGATGGCTTGTCCTGTTTCATTGTCCCTCAAATGTAGAGAGACAGTATTGCAGGTTATACAATGTTAAAAACAATCTAGTTTTTTACATTTATTTCTTTCTTAACTTACTAATAAGTTTCTACATAACTTTCTAGATCAATTATTTTATGTCTTTTGGACAGAACAAGGAAAAAACTAGATTATCAAAACTTTTTCAAAATGTATTCATTTGAAGTGATAATAGTTAGTATCTTGAATTCTACATTAGTCGATAATATGTATCAAATTTGTTTATTATGTTCTTTCGTTTTTATAAACGGAATAATAATTAAGAAGGATTCAGTGCACAACTCCTCGAGGATTAACTGGTCCAAAGTGTTGTGTAGTCCTGTATATCATGGCCTGAACAATAACAGTTAAACTTAACCAATTAATACCGTTTGTCAATTAAATGCTCTGATTCAATTTAGAATCTAAAACCGTCGGGTCATTTGGAATCACATTTTATGAGATAACTGCCGGCGATGACAGTTTCATCTGATTTCAAACATTGCGGTAAACATGTGATATTCTGTTAAATTGACCACTGCACTAATTTAGATTTGTATTGATGTTAACTTTTAATTCCAGTAGTCATGGTATTAAAAAGTGTTTTGTTTGATCTTTTATGATTATTATGAAAATTATTATTATTATTATTATTATTATTATTATTATTGTTTTAACTAGTGGTCATGTCCTAATGTTTGTTTTATAAACTTATTTTGACCTCCTACCGCACACTTTTTCTCTCTGATTTTGTTTAGAAAAAATGTAGTTTTAATTGTAATGTTTACTGTTAATTTATATTTTATATGTGTGTGGTAAAAAAAATAAAAAAACAAACAAAATTAACTAAAATTATTTTTTTCCTGTTTTCTGAAACCAATTCACAAATAATACTACTATTATAAACTTGAAAAATTTTACATTGTAATTCTGGCAAGTCAAGTGGCGAAAAAATCACCTCCTGACAGTTTAATTTAAACCATAAAATGTAAAAGAATAGAGAGCATACACATTGACTCGGTTCCTTGATCTTTACAATTCATACACTTGACATAGATTTACACATAGCTAACAAACATAATTAGAGAGAATAATAAACCGCAGTCGTACATGTAGTCCAAGGTAATAAAATTAATATACTGGCCTTGGCAATTTAGGTCTGTGTACATTGCTCTTCAGCCTCTTGGAATGAATAAACTTCTCTGATGTACTCATTTATACTTCATTTTCTCTTCAAGGCTGTCTGGAAACAAAAGAAATTTAGGTCAAAATGAAAAAGTATGTTACAAAGTTAATGTGAACAATGCTCAATTGGGTGAATAACATGAAGAAAATGCTCCAAATCCCAAAACTTCTACAACATCTTTAAGCGTACTGTAGTCTTCTCATTTGTATTTGAGCTTTATATTTTTACAAAAGTTAGTAATTTAGTGAAGTGAGCAATTAATGATGTTTTAATATATTAAAACAATGGCCTGTTAAGTTAGGTAATTTCTAATTGATGCCAAACAGGCATATCAGCAGCAGTCACTGCTGATCGAAATGATGATGAGATTAAAATAATTAAAAATTAAACTTTTTATAATCAATTTTCATGTTTAGCTAAATATTAACTTGTGAACGCAGGCATTTAGATCAAGTAAATATGAAAGTGTTTGGATATAACGGTCAGTGACTTAAGTGCGTATTCTTATGTGCTATCATATGTACTGTAATCAATAATTACGCTTGTTGGTGTCATTCATGATGAAGTGTCTCATTTGTCTATTGCATTCTCAGTATCAATGAGTCACGTCATTGGCATTGATTGATTGTCAAGATGGTTTATCAACTGTTATTGATCTTGGTTGCCATTCATTCTAACACACTGTCTGCTCTAATGATTCAAAAATGAGAAAATGTAGATATTGGCCCTGTTAGGATTTGAACCCATGACCTTTATACATTATGTTATAACTTATGAGTACTCTACCTAATTAGTCTTAAATGCAAAAGTTATGAATATGCAAAAATTATGAATAAAATTATATATCAAAAAGGTAATTTAAAGATTAGTTCGATTTTAAAAGTATTTTTTAATAATTATATTTGACTGAAATGCTATGAATATTTGGGCACTCACTACGTTGTACGACTGTCGTACAATGAATCCAACTCCGCTCTCAACCGTCGTGCACAGTAAGTACTTAAGAATATTTTAGTAAGTCCAATCTCTAGACCTATAAATATCTATGTAAAACATGTTTTCTTCTTTCTTGATTATGACTACTTGTGGCAAAGACAAGCCAAATCAGTCACTCGTCGCAAATCGTGTTTCAGAGAAAATGGCCAGAACATGCTGGAATGTCAAATTTTAAAAAATCAATTTTATTGCATTAAACTAACCTTTATATATCTACACATCATTCTATGCTGTTATTGTCCCCATTTTCAATGTTAAAACAATACTTTTTAAGGATTTAAAGATAGTTTCTGCCTGAAAAATTCCTGAAATCATAAACTTTGACGGTTAATTTCTCATACATTATTCTTTAAACAGCTGTGTGGTTAAACGCTTGTAACTTCATAAGGAAATGTCCGATTTGAATGATTTTTTTACCATTTTATAGCTATTATTTTACTCTCTAACACTGTATTAATAACTCAAAATCAATTTTTGTGACGAGTGAGTGACTGGTTTGGCTTGTCTTTGCCACACTTATTTGAAACTGTTACGATTCCTAGTTTTTCATCTACTGTAATACTAAGTTTAGAAACGTGTTAGTCTATGGTACATCTATAAAAAAAAATCAAAACTCTTCAGAAATACTTTTAGTATTAAAACAGTTATATGATTTCAGGTATTAAATACTAATTTTTATGTTGTAATTCTAGTTTCTTGTAATTTAACTATTACAATTTCTATTTATAGATATAATCTC